ATAATAATAATAATAAAGTTTTGTTATTAATTAATTAGTAATTTTATTATAAAATATTAATTTTAAAAATTTTTAAAAGGACCCTATACTTGACCTGTGGATCAATAGCACAGTGGGTAGTGCTTCCAAGTCTCCAAATGCATGTCCCTAGTTCAATACCCACAGGGGGCAAAAAGCACATTTATCTTCATATGTAGGTTTACTGAATATCCTGCATATGTCATACCCAATAATCCTTATCACATTCAAATTCAGTTAGGTTGCATGAAGATGGGACCTCTGGTCTTTTCAACGATTGCGGGCTGAAAACAGGTCGAAGCATAGAAGGTTGCACGAGGAAAGGCTTCTGGTCTAACTTCGGTAAAAGCCCACAAAAATCTTAACCCAAACTGGCGACGGCAGACTCCATCACACAACCCAAAGAGATTAATCCTAAACTGATTTATCCCAATCTGGAGCTTGATGATCTATTCCTAGAGTGGTGTTCATATGAACTTAAATTGGACTGAAAGGGCAAATGTTATCTGTCACAGGAGGTGACAATCCAGGCAAAAATCATTAAGATCAAGTGCATCTGGTGAGGATTGTCAAGATTAAATCGAAATCCAAGCAAGGATGCCAGTTCTACAGGTGGTGAAAATGGTAGTGTCACATTACGCTAGTGGCACATCCCAAGGATCAATGATAACAGGTGATTGGAATGACTGGAGTTAATCTCTATAATAACATCCTATACTACACTACTCTCTGCAATATGGACTTAATAGATTTAGGTGGGTTTAAACTAGTGGTAGGATTCCCCCCCCTGCGGAAAGTCCCACCTGATATGTGGACACATCTCCGGGTGTTTAAATGAATGCATAGTTGGGTTATAGTGGTTGGTATAGCTAGTCTTATAGCAATATATGTATTAATGCAGTATTAATCTGCAGATTAACTGTAGAGACATAATGAGTATCTATGTACTAACCGATTTCCAGTTAATTTGTAGAGATACTTGATGTCTATCTGGATATTAAATGTATCAATAAAGGTTACATGCCTTGCACATGTTCCATTCTAAAAAAAAAAAGAAAAAAAAAAAAAAAAAAAAGGGACCCTATACTTTAATGACTTTTTTTATATATAAATTTCGAATTATTTTATTATTAAATTTTTAAAAATTTTGAATTTAAAATTAATTATAAAATTCAAAAAAAAAAATTTGTAACTATAAAAAATTTATTAAATATTTCTTATATTATATAAATTAATATTATGGAATTAATAGATTATTTATTTTATAAAATTAATTTCAAAAAAAATTTTAAAACTTTTTAAAAAATCAATTTATTATAAAAATTTTTAACTTTATAATAAATTTTATAAATTTTATAAATTTTTCGTTTAATTTTACTTTATAGAAATTTTTTTAATTGATAAAAAAATTATAAAAAATTTGTTTTTTGATTTTTTTTTACTTTTATTTAACAAATCTATGCATTGAAATAATTTTGTTAATTTTTTATAATTTGTAATATATAATAAAATTTTGGATATAGCTTTAAAACATACTTTTAACTTTGAATCAAAATTTAATTATATTGTTATAATATATTTAAAAAATTTTCTTAAGTAATCTTATTCTATAAAGTTTTAAATATATACTGTATATTCAAATTTTTATTATACTTTACTAATTAATTGTTGATTTATAAATAAAATTAAAAATCAAAATTAGTCCAAAGACTTTTGTACCATACTGTATATATATATATGATTTTATTTATTAATTTTTAATAAATTTTTTAATTAAAAACTGGTTAGGATTTTTAGAAATTAATTACATTATTAATTTAAATATTATATAATCAAAAATGTATATTTTGTTTATTTTTATATATATATTGCATAATATAATTGATAAATTTGTAATTTTAATTAAAAGATTTAATATAATTAGAAATTTAAATTAAGTTGAAACAAACAAAAATTCTTTAGAAAAATTAAAAAAAAAATTTTTGAAAAAAGAAAAATCTAATTTAAAAAAAGAACCATAAAATTAAAAAAATTTGAATTTCTTGAAGATTTTGAAAAAATGTATTTTTTTTATTATTTTCTTAATGAAAATATTTTGTTATAAACCTTTTACAAAAAATAAATTTGTATTTAGGTCTAGAAATAAACAAATAATAACTACTGTTTATTTTGCTGGTTGTTAAGAAAATGTATAAATTCTATTATATTTATAACAAAAAATTTTTTGAAAACATTTGTTTTTTTGAATTGACAAAAGAGTTATAAAATTTTATGGTGATATATACTGTATAATAATAATTTTAAAACTTATATTTATAAATAAGAGAAAATAAAAAAAAATAGAATAAATAAATAAGAATTTTTTTTTATATTATGAATGATATGTACAATAATACACAGGAAACAAAAATAATAATTCGTATATGCGCAAATGCTTTCCGTAAGTATGATTTTTACAAATATATACACGAAAATAAAAAAATTGATTATACCAGCCATTATGTACATTACGTCGTATTGTTGTTCAGTTGTTCAACTATCTATATTAGTCATAGCACGCAGATTCTATTTATAATGTTGGTCAATTTTCAGTTCTATCACCATTACGCAGCGAACTCACGAATTTAAATACACAAAGGTCAATCTCATAAACACCATACCTTAATTTCCGGGTAAAAAGCAGTTCAGTTCTTAAAACAAAAAATGGCCTTTAGACTTTTTGGAGGAAATCCTTTCGAGGAACAAGTTGGTATGATATTCTATTATCGAATCCTTATTTTATTTTCGTAAAATTCTCAAGTTCCAGCGACGCTATTTACGTTTATTTACTTTAGAAAAAGCTACTTCTGAGTTGCTACCAAGAGGCCAGGATGAAATAGCTCTATACTATGAGATTAGTGATATGATTCGCAGCAAGTCGGTTACCCCAAAAGAGGCAATACGTATTCTCAAAAAGAGAATCACGCATAGTAATCCTAACGTTCAACTTTTAGCCTTAAACGTAAGCGGGTAATAAATTACAATTCTCGTTTTAGTTCATCTTAAACGCGAAAATTGTAACTTTATTGATTATTCCTTAGCTAACGGACACATGCGTTAAAAATGGTGGAGGTCATTTCTTAATTGAAATTGCATCTCGAGATTTCGTAGATACGTTAGCTTCAATGGTTAGATCACCGGTATGTTAGGATCATTCTTTCATTTATTCATCGTGAAATTTCTGAATTGCTATTTAATGCAAGTTTTCATAATTTTTCATCACTGGCTTCTAGAATGTACATAATCCTGAAGTGACAGAGAAAATACTCGCACTGATTCAGACATGGGGTTTAGCTTTTGAAAAAAAGCCCGAACTTACTTACGTCACAGATACATATCGACTGTTGAAACAGGAAGGTGGGTCACGTAATAGTCTTTTTTTTTTTCGGTAAAAATGTGTTGGCGATTAATTATCAATTGGTTTTTATTCCTACATATAGGTTATGTATTTCCTAAAGTTGATAAGGCGAATGCAATAATGGTTGATTCCGCAGCGGTAATAATATTACATTTGCTTACTTCATTTTATTTCGTTAGCAAAATCCGTAACTTTATGAATAATATTTATTATAGCCACCCGAATGGTCAGACAGCGATTTTTGCATGCGGTGTAGAACGCCGTTCACGTTTACAAATAGAAAGGTATTTTGATTTGGCCTGAAACATTATTGGTTTTGCCAGCGATATTAAATTGGAACATCTAAATTTTTAGCATCATTGTAGAAATTGTGGTCAGACTTTTTGTGGAGAATGTTCGTCCAAAAATGTAGCATTACCTCATATAGGTATAAACGATCCGGTACGGGTGTGTGATGCGTGTTTTATAAAAAAACAATTGAAAACGATAAGGTATTCGTTTAGTGATTATCTTCGATAAAATTCTGGTATTTACGTTAGGATTAATTCATCATTTTTCAGTTCCACCGCTGATCCCTCCGTTACAAAATCCTTTTCGAGTTCTGCGCCATCAACTCTGTACTCGAGTTTTCCACCTTTGAGTAACGGAAACGACAATACATCTAATATTCAAGAAACACATGAAGAAAATGATGATGAATTGAAGAAAGCAATCGAGCTTTCTTTAAAGGAAGCCGAATACAATAAAAATTACGTACAACCTGCACTTCAAAGGGCTGCTGCTAGGAGTTCTGAGCCTTTAAAAAAATTGGAACAAGAAGCCGAAGAAGACATCGCTGCTGCAATTGAGGCTTCCCTTCGTGACATGCAAATCAATAGCAATCGATATCCGTCTTCGGTATTTAATGCATTGGATTCATCACCCTACAATTTAACTTTGTCATCCAATGAATTGTCTCCAATCGAGGCCGAAAACATTCACCATTTTTCAGAATTGCTTGAGCGGATTCAACAAAGTGGAAGTGACTTGATGAGAGATCGTCAGATTCAGGTTCGGATTTAACTTTGTATCATTAATATTGTCTACGGCTCTACTAATTTTATATTAAACCTATAATTAGGAATTGCACGGAAAAATTGGCGAATTAAAACCAAAATTGACAAAAAGTTTGACCGAAACCATACAGAAACATCGTAAGTGATATTTACAATATTATGCTTTTCTAAGCTTACACATTGTGAATCCTTTCAAAGTTCGTCGTACTGATAAATTCCATAATCAGAGGATCTTGTTGATATGCACGAAAAATTAACGCATGCTGCAAAATTATATGACAAGCTTTTGGAGGAGAGAATGTATAATCGCCGGACATCAATAGCTTCATATTCTATACCTCAGCGTGTTAGCTCACCAGTCGTTACTGGAATTGGAAATATGTATCCATCTGTCGTACCCATTACCCAATCGTCTAGTGTTTATCCTTACCCTGTTGCTTCTGCACCTGCACCTTCTCCAACTTATTACGCAACACAAACCACGCTTCCAGCACAATATGTTCAACCAAAGTCAATAGATACTACTGCAATCGGGACTCAACAAGATCTCCAATCTAGGCAACAACAATCGCCCCAACAAACGCAATCACCTCCGAATGTTCCCTACGCATACGCTTCAGCTCAGGTTCCTTATGCCAGTACTCAAATCACCACTGACGCTATAAATAGTACGTCGGCACCCGTTGATTACAATGCAATTCAACCTCAACAAGGGTATGCGATACCAACGAATGGTACTTCTGCTTATGCACCTCAACCGACCTATGGTGCTGATATTGGGTAAGCATGATTTATAAACAATTGTTGCAAAATATCATACTTTGTTACAACTTTAGCTTTTGTTATAGATATCAATGTCAACAACAAGCAGTACCATCTCAGCAACCCGATTATTATTCATATGCCCCGCAATCGTCTTCATCGCAAATTATTCCTCAAACACAAACGCCAAAATTAGAGGAAGCGCCGCCGTTGATCGAACTTTAAAATTTTGTTCATCAGGTGGCTGATTGCAAGAATTGGGGTCGTGTAAATTAATTCCTTGTGGATTTTATTGTGAAAAGTGATAAAAAGTGATATAATGTATTTGTACTACGAGAAACTGATTTCATGGTTAGCATTCGTGAAGGTATCCTGCATACCATCATATCCGATTGATCCTCAATTATATGCGATTCGGCGGATGTGTTGTAAATAACGACATTCAGAGTACATGGACCTTTAATTATTGAATTTAACAATCAATTGCCAATGTCAATTTATTATATTTACAATAAAATAAACTTAAAGATCGGCTATCCAGATTGTTATTTGAAAGCATTTTGACATTAAATAGAAATAAATTTATCGATATATTTTAAATACAACCTTTCCAGATTCACTTAAGGCGTACCTTATTGAATAGAAATTACATACATTTTTGTAAAACGGTTATATATAATATACAAACAGGTCGTACAAATAAGCCTAAAGCAAAAAATGTAATTATACAAAAAGTATAAATAAATAATTTTTTTTTTTCTGGTAGGTAAATATCATTTCTTTATTAATAGTATTATACTGAAAAGTTATATACATGGTAAAAGAAACAACATTTCTTGTGTGCAAAAATGTAACAAGTTAAATGTAGCTTGTATACCTAGTTAATATCAAAAAAAAATTTTAAAACAATATTATATATGCTAAATATAGCTGAATAGCAGCTATGCCTACTTATTCAAAGTTTTTTTTGATTGGACATAAAAGAATTTGAAAGTAAAAAAAAATTAAAAGAAAAAAATAAACTAGGGTTACAATAATATGGTTATTAAAACTATAACTAAGTCATTTAAACTATAAAATTTATATATGTTTCCTTATTACCATAAAAGGAAATTTGATCAACAATATGATTCTGAATTAAATATAATTTTCAATTACTTACTAATTGTTACTTAGTAATATAAACATAATATGGTTTTCGAAAAATATCTGAATTAAATACAAACATATGTATAATAAAATCTATATAAATAAAAATAAAATCTTCAAGGAAATCACTGGTTTGGCTTGATGATTCATTCTGCTGATTCCTTGTTACTTGTTGATTATCAGGAAATTTTTTAATATAAAAATTTTTAAATAATAAATTCCAGAAATTTTTATTTCAGGCGTGTGGCGCGATGATCGTCTGGAATATACATGTTTCCTTATTACTATAAAAGGAAATTTGATCGACAATACGATTCCGAATTAAATACGATTTCCAATTAT